AAAAAAAAAAAAAAAAAAAAAGAAGAAAATTTGTAAACAAACAAAGCAAATAAAGACCAACCAATCTTTTTGATTAATGTTATCCCATTTTGAAACTGAAAACCATGTGGAAACTACCAATTACTATAGCTGTCAAGTGAAAAAATGAGAAGGGGGCTGAGATATAGAGGATTTGGTCTGTGCTGATGAGCAGATGCAATAATGTCTCTCCAGCTCTGTGTTATAAAGGCACTGGGTGCACGGATGGTTCATGTATCTTCTCAGACGTATATAAGCGTGTCCTCATCAGCATGCGGTTCCCGACTCATCCAAAAGAGCTTCACCGTGGCAAATGGTTAAAGTGTCTCTGCTGCTCTCATATAGACACCTCATCAGCAATATTGAGTCTGGTTATTGTCTTGCTCTGCAGAATTGAAAAGGTTACTTGCCGGTCCCTTGAAAAATAGCTTGTGTTGATGCGCTTCGTCTTGGAAACAAAAAATGTGCTAATTTATGGGGTGTATTGAATTTTTGGAGAAAATACCAATAACGCATTTCCACGCGCCGTTTGCTAATGAGTATAGAGCTGAGCAGGAAAAGGCTGACGGCGATGAAATTCAGCCAATGATGTTCTTTTGCTGAAGAAAAGAAGAAACCTATCAGCGTAACTATAGAGTGGAACTTTAATGTTATCTGGTAACATCATGCACTACATTTAGCTGCTATTCTTAAATTTCATTTACATGCAGTCACGATTAATGCAATAGTAACATATTAATAATTTATAGGATATTACACACTGTATTTTTTCAGAAATTGGAGTAAGTACTCTATAGCCTAGTAGTTAGTGAATATGCTCCAACACAATAAAGAGACAGTTCAACCAAAAAATAAAAATTGTCATCACAAAAATATTTTAAAGAATGTTGTGGTTCAAAACAACATTACATTTTTCAAAATGTTGTGTTCCACAGAAGGAAGAAACTCACACGAGTGATTGAGTAAATGTCAGTGAGTCATAACAGAGCGACCCATCCCTTTAAGCCAAGGTGTTTATAACAGAAACATGGACACAAATGTACATGGGCTATTCTACAGAATTGGGGCAAATGCTGTCCCACAACCAAAACAATTTTTTAAGTATAAAAAACTTATTTGTTTACTAAGATCCTTCCATTATCTGAAACCCACAATAATATGTAAAATATTGGTAAGCATAATGTATATAAAATCATCATTTATTGGGTACTTTCAATTGGGAGGTTGCTATCCCAAACCCTAACCCCTAAATTTCAATTTATGAAAATATTGAAATAATTTTTGTATTTTTTCCATTGTTGTTTTTTTAAAAGTATCTTTTTGATTATTTTAAAAAGTGAAGTTCAAAAAATATATTTATTTTATATTTTCTTTGTAAATTATGAAATTGTATGTAAAAAATGTGTCCAGCATTTTTCATGTCACTACCGAAACAGTGTATGTTTTAATCCATTGGCCGAGACTGATTTTAACTACACCCCTAAATTTATGATCTAGAAAAATTCCTGTGTCCCCCTCTCTCATAGCTACAAGGTGTGAGTAGATGGGTCCCATAATTTTGAGGTAAATGTGATCAAAAGTCTGAAAAATCTGTGTGTAACTTTAAGGAACGTCACTACAGAACACCTTTTTTTTTTTTTTGCAAATAAGCACACTTTTTTGGGAGTTATTCCATAACATTTAGTTTTTATATGTGTACCACTGTTCTGAACTGTGCTAGCTAACCATGTGCTGATTAGCATCTTTGAGCTAGGTTCAAAAGTATCTAAAATGGTCACTACCGAAACATGTCATCATTGCTTCAGTACTGACAAAAGGGAATACATAATCCTCATATTTTGGGGAAATAAACAAAATTTTTGTACAGTTATGCAATTTTTTTGTATTGTAGTATGTTTTAGTATGCAAGTTAAAATTCTGCAATGTGATATGGTCGCTACCAAAGCAATACAATCTCTAACAAAAATGTGCAGTCACTACCAAAACTTGGGATGTTTTGTCAAAAATAAAGTATACTGAATTATCAACTAAAATGTTATGAGAGTTTTTGGTTCAATGTATATTCAAACTAATAAATCCTTAACTTTGAAATCAGTATGATCAACTTTTTGCCTTTTGCAAAGAAAAACTGAATTCAAAATACAACAAAGTTCATAAATTACACTTGAAATATTGATAAAAATGTAATTGTTATTGATTTACCTAAAAAAATAAAATAGCAAAAACATATATTTACAATGTAGATGTAAGCAAAATCTTAATAGGTCAATATAACCCTTCTAATTAAATTGTTATTACTGTGTTTCGGTAGTGACAAATTTGGGGAGAGGACAAATATTCCAAAACTTTCTAAAAATACAATATGAGAGTTAACTACACAATTACTAGAAATGTGTACCTTGGATATTATACAATTTGCATACATACAAATTTTTTGGAAAAAGAATTTTTTTTCAAGACGTTTCCAACTCAACCAATTCTGTAGAATGGCCCATATACAGTACATAAAAGTAGCATAAAATCTAAAAAGTCTAAATAGGAGTAAATATAACTAAAACAGACCAACAAATAAGCAACCTTACAGCATTTTGAGGGTCTTCTTTGCGTTTTACAAACAAAAGAGCACTAAAAGTTACCATGGTCATACCCATTAGACTTACAAGAGAGAAGTCAGGCGCGTTTTGGCACAGGAGTCGAGGAAAGACGGCCTGTCTCTGCCCTCTCTCCTCTTCCTCAAAGACATTACCATACATGAAGCCATTCATCATGGTGGAGTGGGCGTGCACGTCGATGTAGAACTCCAAACTCACTTTCTGTAAATCACATGGAGAGCGACACAATGATTGAGAGAGATCAGACAGACAAGCGGAAAGATGAACAGGCAGAACACATCATGTGAACAGTATTTAAAATAACTCACCATTATCAACAAGAGAAAAAAAATCTTTATAAAAAAAGATAAGGATTGTTCAAATGTACATTCATATTCATACTATTCATATACATAATATAGGCCTATAACAGCTCAAATGTTTGTAGTAGAAAGAAATTATTATTTTTTTAAAAAGAAAGGATGCATTTAACTGATCAAAAATGACAGTCAATACATTTATAATGTTACAAAAGACTTCAATAGCAAATAAATGATGTTACTTTAAATATATCAAAGAATCCTGAAAAATGTCTCAAAAAAGAGTAATGATGGTATGTTTTTTTTTAAATATTACAATAGGAAAATTGTATTTAAAAAAAATATTACTTATACTGTATTTTTGATCAAATAAATGCAGCCAGGCTTCTAAAGATCCCCATTTTGTGCTCCATGGATGGAAGAAAGTCATTGGAATGACATGAAGTTGAGTAAATGCTGACAAAATGTTCATTTTTCCAGTTAACACAGACAGCAAGTGATTGACTGTCCATAGAAAAACAGAGCAAGCAAACATCTTAAATATTAAACTATCAAACTATGCTGTGGTTTCACATCACCGATGCTCCGAGTGCAAAAATAAGCACAGCATTATTCATCACGGTCCTGTGAAAGAGCAACAACACTCCTGGGTGTTTTATAGAACAGCTGTCACAACTGCCATAGTTTAGAGGGATCAATTCATGTTCCTGAGTCAGCAAGCGAAGCAGGCACGCCTCACTACCTCAACCGCGGCCCGGACTTCAGCCGTTTAATGCAGAATAAATGATTAATATGGACCGGGAAACACATACAATAATATTTGTCAGCAAAAAAACTCACAGAGCAGAAATTCAATTCGGAAACAAATGGCAAAGTGTCACCAGAAAGAAACATCTCAACAAAGAAGACCGAAAACATGTATGTACCTCTGCGAAAGCAGTATAAAAAGACGTGAAAAGTGTTTACATCCTCAAAAAAGCTTTTAGAGTGTTCAAACAGTGGACAATCCTTCAGATACGCCCCCTCTCAAGCCTCCCACACGCCATTTTGGCTCTGTGTTGTCTCAGTTACAGTCTAACAGCACTGCAGTGCAGGAAACTGCCGCTCCATCATGGCTGCCACATCATTAAGCTTGCGCTTGGCAAGATGATGAGAGAGACACTTGTGTGTGGTTTTGTGGTTAAGGATCATGCTGTCGAGCAGAACGAGGTGTCACCACGCGGAGGGCTGCCGTTTGATGCGCCTCGTCGCCGTGTGTGTGTTATTGTGTGTGGGTGAGAGAGAAAGAGTGAGTCACGGCGCTTCGGTGACAAGGCATCAAAAGGAGCATCATGCTCCACGTATCTATACGGCAACAAAGTAATGGCCATTTTGTTTGAGGCTGCCTATCTCTCTCCATCCGTTGTGTACATTGTAAGCATCTGATGCAGGCATAATAGGGCCGACTCCTCTACCCTTTGACCCCCTCCCGCGCTCTCTCCATCTACGCCGAGCCTTTTCTTTCTTCATTACGCATTCCGAAGCGCACCTCGAATCCCGTGGGTCGTCGGGAGAGGGAGGTAAAGCAGAAGTAAGGAAGAGAGAGCGAGAGAAAGAGAAACATCAGGAGTCAAAGACCGAGAGAGAGAGAGAGAGAAAGAGAGAGAGAGAAAGAGAGAAAGAGATGCGCTTGGGGGGAGAGATCGGGCAGCACCCGGTGCTTGAAATTCCGCTCACAGCCAAAGCAATTTCCTAGTGAGCGCAGGGCTGTCAGGCCTCTGATGGCAGGCGGTGAAATATGGTGGCTGAGAGCGGGGCGGCTGCACGCATGCCAGTCTGATGGATGGAGCCCGCAAGGAAGAGGGAGAACAACACACAGACAAAAAAAGAGGAGGAGGGAAAACGAGAGAGAGAGAGAGGCACTGGTCACTGTTAAGGTAGCTCCATCAGCTCCTTCAAGGGGTTCCCAGTGTACAGTTGAGGCGGGTAACTGTCTAATCGCCCACATACTCGCCGTGCATTACAAAGTCGGGGTGGGGCCGCTGACTTTGCTCACATGTATACACGTTCACACACACATTTATGACCTTTTCTCTCACTCAAAGAGATGCTTAAGATCACACGCTGTGTAATGGCAATGTATGCGTGAAGTGCTGTGTTCCTTCAGCAAGGACCGTTGGCTCATTTTGCACCGTTAACAACATAATTAAGAGTGGAAATGAAATGGCCGCTGCTCCGCTCTGCAAGAGCTGTTCTCTACCTCCGGGTTAGAAGTAACCTTTCAACACTGATCTGGGACCAGGTGCCTTCTGTCATGGTGCTGAGCTCTTGGAAGTCAAATGAAATGAAAAGTGAAATGCAAAAAAGGAATACTTTCATACCTGGGTCATTCCTCTTATGTAGTACCTTAAAAAAACTAAGGAAGTTGTTTGTTAAATAGATTTTATAAAAGACTAAGATGAAAATGAATTTGAGGACATGAAAAAAAAAATGGATTCATTAAAATAATATTATAACTTTATACAGGATAAAAATATGAAGTGTATGGAATATTTCTGTTGATAAATCAATGTTGTTATTAAAACTAGTTAAATAACATTCAAATTAAACTAGTTTAAAATATTTTCATAATTTAAATAGAATATAAATATTAGATGAAACATTTAAAGCTATATAGAAATACATAAATAAGACAAAAACATAAAAAACAAAAACGTAAACTAAGATTTTAAATGTACACTAAAAGGGAAAGTTCATGCAAGTACTTGAGGGTGAATAAATTATAGCAGAATTTTCATTTTTTTGGGTGAATCATCTTTTACATCTTTTTAACATGTAAAAATAAAAGCAAATTCTAAATATTAATAACTACTATAATGGTATATAATTTGCCATTTTTCTGTTTAGAAGTGTATAGAAATTGGGGATATGACAAAATAGCAACTACTATTTAAATAATCAAATAATATTTAAATAATATTATGAAATATTATACACTATCTAAATAAATAAATAGCCTAAATATAATCATTGTATAATTTACCTCAATGATCATGTAATTCTAATACTGTTAGGGAAATAAAATAAATATGAATTCCAAGTATTCCGATCTGTTGTAATACTGATATTGTAATAAAATAAATATAATTTCCATATTCAAAAACTGTGAAGTGAGTAATATCCCTATTACTATAATATAACACTCATTTATAGAGTTATATAAATGAGTATTATATTATAGTAAGAATGACTGATCTGTTCCTTTGGTATAAAAATATCATTTTCAAGGTGAAAATTACATCCGTCTCGAAATTACGACTTGATTTTCCTTTATGCAATATCAAGGACGTTCATGACAGAAAAGTACAGTCACCATCTACAGCCCTCAATGTCAACAAACAGACAGCCAATCACACACTCTTAATGTGCTGTCAATCAAAGGTGGACAATACTCCGCTAGCTTAACGCTGATTGATTGTTCAATTAGCATGCGTCTCTGACCTCCAGATTTGTTCATTTGAATATGTAATTAAGCAATTAAGGGTAATTAAGAAATTAGGAATATGAAAATAGAGCATAATTTGAGTGTTGACGTGTTGAATATTCAAGAACATATATAAAAAAAAAAAAGGAAGTTAATGCTCATCACACTTTTTGCATGTGAGGATAGCAGGCAAACTTCTATCTGTTCCTTTGAGTAGAAATGGAAGGTCAAAAGAATTTAGTCGGACGAGCACTTATCTAAGGAATAGTAATTAGTCTGGGCTGTTAAGGCCCATAAATGCTCTGCTTATCTGTATGAATTAAGAATGGTGCTGATTTAAGCAGGATTTGAAGCTGATGCATTTAACCACAAAGCACTTGGCATCAGCAATACCTATGAAGAGAGGACGCAACAGATTCTGCTCGCTCAGAAGTTTGTCCATCCTCTGCACAGACGAGGGGAAAAGAAAGAGATTTTGATAATGCAAGACTTGAAATACAGTTGTGATGTGGAAAATATTCTGATTGAGGTCAAAACACACAATTACATGCAAAGCGAAAGCAGAAAAGGAAAGATGGAAGGCGTCTGTGTGCGTGATCTTTGAAAAGACAGCTCATCAGACAGAGTTCAAATTATGTCTTGCTTTTCAGATGTTTGCCAGGGTGGAAAATGGCAGTGCTCCATAGTGCAACAGTTTCCATCCTCCTTCCTTCATTAGAGATGGTATACACAGCTCTTCAGCACAACACAGATGTGGCTTAAACTTCGAGCTGGGTAAAATAGCTAATATAATAAATATTTCTGAATGTTGTGTTGACATTCATATGTTCACACACACACACACACACACACACACACACGCACACACACACACACGCACATTTATTTATATACATATTATTTATATAATATGTAATATTTATACTGTTATTCAGCAAGGGCACATGAAATTTATCAAAAGTTAAAATAAATATTTTTAAGTTGTTATTATTTCAGATTCTGTTCTTTTAAACTACTCATCAAAGAATCCTAAACAAAATTATCTCCGTTTTGACAAAAAATATTAAGCAGCACAGCTGTTTTTAAAACTGATAATAATACAAATGTTTCTTGAGCACAAAAATCAGCATATTAGAATGATTTCTGAAGGATCATGTGACACTGAAGACTGGAATAATAATGCTGAAAATTCAGCTTTGCCCTCATAGGAAATATATTCAAATAGAATACATTATTTTAAATTGCAATATTATTTCACTGTAATACTACTTTTACAGTCAAATAGTTTTCACTGTATTTTTGATAAAGTAAATGGTATTTGAACTGTAGTGTATATTTTTTATATTTGCTCTGAAGTGGCTAAAAATGTTGTGATTTTTCCAGTCAGTGGAACCATCATTTCGACCAAACAGTCATTATTGCCAATGAGATTCAGAACG